CTGGGCTGATTCACGCCCCCTCCCTCCTTCCTCCTCATTGTTGTCCTCTGGGATTGTGTGGAACCCTGTTCCTCTGGGCTGATACACCTCACCTGTTGGGGCTGGTGCACGCCCTCCTTCATCTCCAATTTTTTTTTTTTTTTTTTTTTTTGGTAGTTTGGCTAATTTGGGGGGGCTGATGCACGCCCCCCCTCCCTTAGAGTCATTCTATTATTGGGCTGGTGCATGCCCTCCATTGTGGGGGGGTTACTGCTTGAGGTCGTTGGGCTACCCCCCCCCTTTGTTATGTTTGTAGACGACGGGTGTTGCTATTCTTTCTTTGTAGTAGCAATCATTTTTATTATTTTTATTTTTATTTATTTATTTTTTTTTGTATGTGTGTGTTGTTTTATTTGTGGTTTTTTGGTGGTGGTGCTGAGTTCTGTGATTTTTCCAGGGCTTTGTTGCCTAGTGGTTTTGTCCTTTGTTTTTGTCCCCTTGCTGCAGGGCTTCCTTCCCAGCTAGGAACTCTTCCTCTTGCGGGTTCAGTATCATCAGTATCCGGATTTCGGTTTGGGTAGAGTTGGTGGTTGAGTGGGTAGGCATGGTAGCTGTAACTGGATTATTCGTTGTTGGTGGGTGGCGTGGTATGTATTTCGGTGTGTGTATGGTTATTACTTTCACTGGCGTTATTGTGACCAGTATTGTCTTTTGGTCTTTCATTATTGTTGTCATTATTATTATTATTATTGTTTTTGTTTATCTATGGCTGTGTTTCCGTCTATCATTATTACTATTATCGTTATTGTTATTATTACTATTTATACGGTAAAAAATTAAAAAATTAATATAAAACAAAAATAAATTGAGAAGTCCCTACACTAAGATATACATTGATATTATCAATACTATTGTTGTTGTTAGTATTGTTATTATTATTGTTTTTATTGTTTATTATTGTTATTTTTCCCTATGCTGGGGCTGGTCACCAGTTGGCTGATGCACGCCCCTCCTTATTGTTAATTCTCTGGTTCTGTGTTCTCACGACTGCCCTCCCTTATTTGATGGGGCTGATGCACGCCTCCACACTTCATTAGACAGGGCCGATGTGTGCCTTCACCTCCCCCCCCCTTTGGGAGGGGGGGTTTGTTTAGCTCTGGGGCTGATGCATGCCCTCCTCCAGATGACTTCCCCTCGGGTCATTCTTGTATTGGGCTGATGCACGCCCTGTGGTCATCACACTGTCCCTTCTCCTTATTGCTTTTGCTATCTCCACTAGTGTTGTTCTTCTCTTTCCAACCGTTTTGTTTTGTGAGGGGTTCCACTTTTTGTGGTTATAGAGCCCTGTTGTTTTATCTTTGTGCAGGGGACCCTCGTCTAGTGGTTTGTTCTTTGTTTTTGTCTTACTGCAGGGCTTCCTTCCCAGCTGGGGACTCTCCCTCCTGTGGGTTCAGTGTCATCTGTCCCATTGCTGCCCACAGCTATGACCTCTATGGCTGGCACCTTGCCTCAGCAGGCTCCTGTAGCCACAGTGCCCCATCCCACTTTCCCGCCTCTTGGGCCCCTTCCACCTTCCAGGGTAGTTGGTCTCCAGGAACCAGCTGGCTCAAGTCTCTCTCTCTCCATTTCAGCAGAGCCAATTCCAGCAAGGCTGGTGCAGAGGATCCGTAGTGGCCAGTTTGTTGATATGCGGGAGTTATTGGGCGACATTATTGCTGTGTCACAGCATTTTGAGTCGGCAGCTGGCTATTTCCCAATGGTTCTCCCCCCGTCGTCTCGTCCTCGCCTCCGAGAGGTGACCTCCCTCCCCTCATGGATTTATTGCTTCCTAACTTATTTGGCTGTGCTCGTTGACGATCAGTTTACTAGGGATCGCTTGGTCTATGGTCGACTTTTGGTGAGGGAGGCACTTCGCCACGGGGGGCGGGGCTGGTTGGACTACGACCGTTTGTTTCGGCAGCAGGCGGCTCTGGATCCTTCCTTGTCATGGGGCACACTGCACTCCAGTTTGGTGGCATCGACTGTGTTAAGCCAGCATACAAGTGGTGGCACCTTCTGCAGGGTGTGTCAGGGCTGTGACCATTTGGCTCATGAGTGTGCCATGGCGGCCCTCCAGGCCTCTCAGTAGGGCAGGCCCCCAAGACCTACTGTCATTTGTCTGACTTGGAATGAAGGGCGTTGTGCCTTTCCACCGGGTCAATGCTGGCGGAAGCATGCCTGTGCTACTT